GGGTTACTCACTTCAAATAAAGAAGTTACAAAATCTAACCAATTTTCTAATTAAAAGTTTAAGTGAAAACTTAGTGAGATTGATAGGTGACTTAAGTTAAGTAATGTTTGAGAAACACACTTAGCTAAAATTTTGACTTAAAACGAATTTTTCACTTAAGTTTTGCTTAAGTTTTTTTAAGAAACTGGTCTCAGGTTTCTAATCTAATAACCAAAACGAATGTAATAACCACGACTCATGGTTAAATGTATTTTTTTTGTGTAACTTTCTATTTGTTAATAAACACGAAGCTGTTCTTAAGGAGACAACTGGTTGAACTCGCAATATCACTATATTCTGTCATATGGTGCAGTCTCTTGCCCAACGTTGCTCAGCGGGAAAACAGAGTCAGCGAAACTGTTCTTCGTGTTCAGTCTCGTTTATACCTCAAATCTTTCTCTTTGATTTGACGATGAGTCAACACGTCCTCTGAGGATTAGTTGAGCCATCAGCAGTGCCAAATTATTTTGATGATTAGGATCAGAGTTACCAGATGCTCAGATCAGAAATGCGGAATAAAAATTTCAAATTGCGGAAAAAAAACGGAAACACATTTTCATGATCTAATTTCATCCTTTTTTCACGCGCACAGAGTCAAAAAATGTTTTCTCCGACACTTCGTGGTTTTACTCAATAACAACAAACAGAAATGTAAATCTCTATTTTAATTGACACGTTGCTTTTTGACTGTATATGTTTTATTATAATGAATAAGTTCAAGCAGTTCTGGCGTTGATAAGAAATAATTATCAATTTCAGCGCATGATAATGATGAGTTTAAACGAATTTTTAACTGAGGGAGAAACCGCAAAAGCAGAAAATGCTAAAAATTCCAACAAATTGCTGAAAAATCTCAAAAATCTGGAGTTTGTCCGTAAAGTGCGGATCATCTGGCAACGCTGATAAAGATACTTCTCAAATATTTCTCAGTAGGATGAGTCGGCGTGGGTCCTAACGATGAGTCAACTCGTCTCATGAGCAACTTCTTTCCCTCTGATTCTCAACGGAAAAAAAAGAAGCAAGTAGGACGAATCAACTTGCCCTGCCAGCTGAGTCGACTTGTCTTACAGAAAGTCTTGTTCAGGACGAGTTGTCTTCGTGATTCATAGCGACATCCTTTAGTTTTTGAGAATCAAAGCGTCATTTTATGTTCAAATTAATGTTTTTTGAAAGAAACATGGCGAAAATGTAATTAGTCTTTAAAAATAATGGTATTTTTGGAGAAAATTAGTCTAACCAATGAAAGCCAGATCTGCATCTGCAATCTGCAAAAAAAATCTGCATTTTACCTTTACCCGACAAAATGGCCTACAGCCATAACATAGGCACGCCAATCAAAAGCGTACGGCAATAAGCGTACACACTAATGCAGATATATCTGCGATAACGGACGTACGACATCTACGATGTCTCCACATACTGTCTTATTTTTCACTGTACCAAAAAGCAGACGGCCGATCATAGTTAATAAATTGATCTTTGTTCATAAAATCTAGAATTTACCAGACGATACATCTAAGAAATAAAGCAGATGGCAATTCGTAAAACAATTTCATTGTTCGTCTATTTATTTTATCTCTTTGTCAAAAGATTTAATTATATAGATAAAGAGATCATATGAATAACTTATTCATATGATCTCTTTATATAGTACAACTTGTGTACTTCAGACTGTCATAAAAACTGGAGAGGGGCACCTTCAAAGAAGCCAGAATATACACTAATCGAGGTATCTCAGGTTTTGTATATACAAGAATGAGAATTCATTAGACAAGAGAATGAGAGACTCAAACGGACGAAATAAAATAGACTCTTTGTCTTAGAATCATTGTGCAGAAAAATACGAGGGAATGGTACTTACTATAAATAGTCATCCACCTCTCGTTTATGAACCATTTATTCATTTGTCTTATACTCTCATTATTTTTCATTGAACATGTCAGCATCAAGCCAACAACAACAACAACCATTGTCTACAGACACTCGAGACGCTCCAAAGGCACTCGAGGTGTTTGGCATCGAAAACAGGGACCCTACAGCTCCACTCCAAGCCGCACAATTGATACAAGGGTCAGCCACTGGCCATCTGGACTAGCACTGACCTAACTCGTACGACATCGGCTGGTAATTTTCGTCTGTATAAGGACGGAAGTGGGAGTTTTGGTCTTTGGATGCCAAACTCGCAGGCTTTCTACTCCGATGGTACTCCACCGAACATCTGTGCTCCAGATACCCAATCAGGACAGACAACCGATGAATCGCATAGGTGCAAAGCCGAGCCAGTTTGGGAGAATCGCTCAAACAGCCGTGACTCTGAATACCGGCGAAACAACAGAGTTTTTGAAAACTCGAGTCGAAATCGTCGAGAATTCAGGGTAGCTCCGTCGGCTTTAGTTCAGTTGACGATCTGCAACAGGATGCGAATTATGAGATCGATATCGATGATGAAGATTTATCCTTTCATCGCCGAGCGCCTCCCAATCTGGACAGTATGGATTGGAACGATCTTACTTATGTCATTTGTACCCTCGATTCGCGACCCATGAACGAACAAAGCCTAGAATTAGCTCGCCACCATAAAGAAAATCTTCTCGCCATTCGTCATATATTGAAGAGAAACAATGCTATTGTACGAGGCTTTTATCGAGGTAATAGTTTACATACGTATCGAGCAAAAGATTTTTACAATATCTGTCGAATCACCATTGAGTACACTATCCGATGGTTTTTCAGGCACATAAGGTTGTCGTTCAATAGACGCTGTTTTCGACCATCGTTCCGTGAAATCAGGCAAAAGTTGACGCATATCGACTTTATCATAGACAGCATAGAATACTTTCGCATGATATGTGTGCAGATCTGTAAGGAAGAACTCTTCTAGGTGAAATGGTTGTTGGAGAAGAGGGAAAAATGAGCCGAGGGTTTTCTTTTTTTTGAGACTAAAAATAAAACCGCCTGTATTGAAATCCCAATTAAGGCTACCAGCAACGAGAATCAAGCACAGTGGGCATTTTTTGCTAGAGCAGGCGGACTTTAGCTTTATGAGTGAACTAAAATTTCATAAACCACTTTTTATAAGTTTTTCATGATCCTCTTTCTAATGGCATGAGAGTTGGGTTATGAAAAAGTTTTCTAAGGAGCTTTCCAGAGATCCAGTCTCTGGAAAACCCTTCAGAAAACTTTCTCAATATTTAAAAACAATGCCACTGGAAAGAGCATTGTCGAAAACCTATAAGAAACATGTTTCGAGCCGTTCAGGTTACTTTATCTTGAAATTCAAATTTTCAGC